TATATATATATATATATATATATATATATATACATGTGTAATATATACATTTGTATATATATATATATATATATATATATATATATATTATATATATATATACATACACACATATGTATATATATATATACATATGTATATATAAACATATATACATATATACATACATATACATATATTTATTTATCTATCTATCTATATATCTATCTATCTATCTATCTATATACATACATATATATAGATATATATATATATATATATATATATATATATATATATGTATATATATATATATATATATATATATATATATATATATATATATATGTATATATATATATATATATATATATATATATTATATATATATATATATATATATATATATATATATATATATATGGTGTGCGGGTCCGTATCATGAGCGGCCCTTCACCACTGAATGAGCTGATCGTGACCTCTCCCTTTAAAATAATACTAATACTTATGGAAATAAAATAAGCAAAAAGACATGTGCAAAAGACTTAAAATATTCTGGGAGAGCATTAACTCAAAGCCGAGGAACTGGAGGTATAGATGAAAAACACTTAAAATAAATAACAGATCTTCCTTTATTTCTAGGAAGCTACATGGTATCCCGTGGCCTTCCGGATTAATCGCCGGTTACAAGAGCTAGCCCCTGAATATACATAAATCCCCGATACTTAACTCGTGGAGCAAAAACATTTAGGTCCTCTCAGTTCCTCTCGCCACAATCAACTGGCCGAGAGGCGGGAATTCGTGGGTCCTCAATCGTGGTTAAACTATTTATTTCTTATGGTTATTGGTCTTACTATATATATAAATATACACAGGGAGGTTCTTTGACAATATCAAAAGTACAGGTATTTTGCTATATATTGCTGAAGTAATTATTTAAAATATATCGGAAAATATATCTCGATAGGTGGCGCTCGGTCTCACAACGAAAACGACGCCATGGGGGGTCTAACTCGAAATCGCTGGCCCTCACGGGGACACTACAGCTCCCTCCCCAGCATGGAAAGTCGTCTGTCCACAGGAGACGATTCTGATACAGGCTGCAACACAAAGACAAGATAGGCATACACATCTGTGGAAGAAAACGAGTTTAGATTCGGTCATCATGCATTAACCTGGGTAACCCTAGTTCCCTGTGATTAATCCTAGGCCACGAATTACCCTGAAGAAACCTTTACAGATCGTAACAAAATTTAAGAACCTAGATTCGCTATAAACATGACAACTTACTATGTGCGGACACTGACAATAAAATAAATTAGATTGACACTAAAAGTAAACGTAAATCAGAAAATTAAAAATAATCAAAGCTAAAAGTTACAAAATACAAACGTAAAATTAATAAAAGTGCAGGTAACAATATAAAACTGAACATAAAATTAAATATTACAAAGATACCAGAGTAAACTCACCTGCGACCTGGATCTGTTGATACATTCACTCTCATTCACACACATTTCTCACGTCATAGAAGTAATATAACCTTAGCTATTAATGCACTTCCTCGTTATTCCGTTTCCTCGGCAAAGTGTAGTTCCGATGGAGGAACAAAAAGCTTCAGTTGGCTTGCATGTACTCGAGCCTTACGTCGGTGGCCCTGGAGCTCCAATACGTCGAAAGCGACGGGTCCCAATTTCTTTGTGATGCGACATGGGCCGATCCACCGGTCCTGCAGAGCCCCTCGCGGTCCTAGAACCTTCCTCATCACTAGTGAACCCTCTTCGAAAGCCGTCGCTGTATTTGCTCCTTTATCTAGAGTCCGTTTGTTAGTTTCATGAACTTGCTGGGAGACTTCTACTGCTAGGCGCCGAGCATCAGTGAGTCGTTGAACCGTCAAATCTTCATCGACCACCTGCGCGTTGGTCAGACCCCTCGGGAAGAATGCCATCCGGCCTGTAAGAAGATATAGTGGTTGCTCCGATACGGACCGATGAATGGCAGAATTCAAGGCAAAGCGAACTGCTGGCAGATACAGTGGCCACTGTGAGGGTGATCGTCGAACTAAGGCCGCCAGAGCGTCCTTTACCGTCCGATTGGTTCGCTCGATCATCCCATTCGATTGGGGATGATATGCCACAGAGAGCGAATGTTTTACTGCCAGGGCCGACAGGACGGAGCGCCATTCAGCAGATGAGAACTCCAGTCCGTTGTCGGTATGTAGCTTTGCGGGTGGGCCGAACAGCGTTACGAAGTGGTCAACAAAAGCTCCCAAAACGCGACTTGCAGACTTGTCACGTAAAGGTACTAGCTGGAGAAAGCGTGTATGGTGATCGACGATCGACAGCACATAGCGGAAACCCCTGGCAGAACTACGTAGATCCATTAGGTCCGCCGACACGAGTTCTAAGGGTGCCGTGGGTGGGGGTTGATGATGTAAGGGTATCCGAGGTGCCGTCCCCTTTCGTCGTTGGCAGGCCACGCACCCCAGCACATACTTCTGGGACCTTGTTAGCATATTAGGAAAATACCAATTGCTGCAGAGGTTGTGGTAAGTTCGAAGGGCACCTGGATGAGTCGCAGATGGAGGGCAGTGAGCCATGTGTAGCGCCTGAGGGTAGAGATGTTGAGGAACAAAGATCTGTTTAACCACTCTATCAGGAAGATGTCTAAGGAAGTAAAGTACCCCCTTTTCAATCTCGAAGTTCGATAGGGCTGCTGGAGGTTGAGACTTGGGGAGCGGATATTCTCCCTCTAGCCAGTTGATGAGGTCCTTGCAGATAGGGTCCTTCATCTGTTCTTGTCGCATTTGCTTGGAGTCCATCGACGCTAGGCAAGGATTTGGTGCTCCATTTTGGTCATCTGTAGGTAGCGGCACAGGAAGGAGTGGTAAGAGAGAGCCAGGCAGTGACTGCGTAGCCGTGGGGAGTGTTGCAGCTTCCGGTTCTTCAACATGTGGCAAACTAGCAGTCTCAGTGTCTCCCACCTGTTCAATGGGACAAAGCTCCTCTCGTGGCTCATCTACACCAACCACAGGCCTAGAAAGAAGGTCTGGCACATGATTAGAAGCTCCTTTCTTATAGTGCAATGTAAAGTCATAATCACCAAGTTCATAGGCATACTTACTGAGCCTGTTACTTTTAGTTTTCTTAGAGAAAACAGCAGTAAGAGGCTGGTGGTCTGTCCAGATACTGAACCTCCTACCATACACATAAGCACTGAAGGCTCGAACAGCCTCAACAACTGCAAGTGCCTCCAAATCTATTGCTGGATACCTCGTCTCAGCCTCCTTAAGTATTCAAGACCAGTAACTTACTGCATGAGACACACCATCTTCATCCTTCTGGAGCAGGATGGCACCAAGGGCTTGACCACTGGCGTCCGTATGTACCTCAAATGGATGACTTAAGTTTGGGAGCTGAAGAACAGGGGACCTAACTAAAGCTTCCTTTAGGGTTTCAAATGCTTCCTGCTCGGCATCCTTCCACTGAAACCGTGTGGACTTCTTCGTCAAGCGGGTTAGTGGGCGAGCTATGGCTGCAAAACCCTTTATATGCTTCCGAAAGAAGCCACATGCTCCCAGAAAGCGCCTCACATCTCTTGCCGAACGAGGGCGTTTCATGGCTGCTATGGCTCTCACCTTGTCAGGGTTGGGAAAGACTCCGTCTTCGCCGATGACAAAACCTAATAACTTGACCTGGCGCTTAGCAAACTCACATTTTCCGACGTTGAGTCGCATGCCAGCTCTGTCCAGCAATTCAAGAGTTTCCTGTAGGTCTTGTAAGTGTTGGCCAAATGTCCTTGAGGCTACCACCACATCGTCCAGGTATGCTAACGTGTGTCGACCAAGGACTGAAGAGAGTATCAGATTCATGGTCCTTTGGAAAGTGAGGGAGCAGTCGACAGGCCAAAAGGAAGCCTCTTAAATTGCAGGAGTCTCTGACCATCAGAAAATGCGGTCTTCTCACGGTCGTTTGGATGTACCGAGATGGCCCAGTAAGCTGCTCTACTGTCAAGAACAGAGAACCAACAGCTCCCAGACACAGAGTCCAAGATCTCCTGAATCCGTGGGAGAGGATAACTGTCAGGAGTAGTGATCTTGTTTAGTCCTCGGTAGTCGACGCAGAAACGATGAGTCCCGTCCTTCTTCCGGACGAGGACTACTGGCGATAACCAGGGACTGGAAGATGGTTCAATTACACCCTGGGCAAGCATCCGATCACATTCTCCTCTAATGATCTCTGTCGTGGATACAGGAAGTCTCCACTGTCTGGTGCAGATTGGGGTATCAGTGGTTGTTCTGATCCGATGTTCTATCCCCGGAACTTCTCCCACTGTCATCTCGTCCTCAGAGAATAACCGAGGAAACCCCTTCAGTACCTCTGTTAATTGTCTCTGCATATCATTTGTAAGATGTTCCAAGGCCACATCTGGAAATATGTGGGAGTCAGTCTCCTGCAAGGAACAAGTAGCTGCAGCAGAGGGGTGGGGAGTCTGAGCGAGTGTTTCCTTCTGCAA